TGTCCAATAATCTGAATGGCTCTGAATTTGACTGAACAAGAAGCCAGACAAAACTGTGTTAAATGTTGCCAGATTCCATTTGTTGGAAAGACAAACTAAGCTATGGTGACAAAAGCAGTGGTTGCTTGGTGACCACATGGGGGGGCAGAGATCAGGAAGAGAAGGACTTCAAGGGGAACCAGGAGCCAGAGGTGGCAGTGCATACTTGGAATCCCAGCACTCAAAATTCTGAGGCAGGAGGATTACTACAAGTTTGAAGCCATCCTGGACTACATAGCAAGGACAAATCTGAAAAAAACTTGAGGAAACAGGAAACTTTTGTGAATAACGGATTCACTATTATTATGACAATGGTTTCCTATATGCCAAATTTTAAATTTTTTCTTTATTCTTAAGAATTTCATACATGTATACAAATATGATCATGTCTATCCCCCATTTCCTCATCCAACTGCCCTATATCCCCCCCAACATAAGCACCTCCCAACTTCATGTCTTTTTTCTTTTGATAACTTATTAAGTCAAATTAGTGCTGCCCACATGTGGGGCAATTCAGTGGAGCATGGGAAACCACATCTTCATATGAGCATGACCACATCTTCAACAAAGAATGATTCTCCCTCTCCCAACAGCTACCAACAGCCAATAGTTCCTCAGTAAAGGGTGGAGCTGGAGAGCATCTCCCCCATCTCTGTGGGATGTTGAGACTGGCTTGATCTTGTACAGGTCTTGTGCAGTGAGCTGCTGTGAGTTCATGAGGGCGATAATCATGTCCTGTCCTAAAGGCAGCGTTTCACAGCACTCCTCCCCATCCTCCAGCTCTTACATTCTTCCTGCCTCCTCTTCTGTGATGCTCCCTGAACCTTGCTGTTAGTAAAGGAGGAAGGGTTGATAAAGATGCCCCACTTAGAGCTGAGCACTCAATCTCTTCTCCTCAACACTATGACCAGTTGTGTATTCTGTGTTGACTGCTGCCCACTGCATACATATGCCAAATTTTTATCTTGGTGGAGCTCTTAAAACCCCTTTTTTTTTGTTTTTTGAGGCCTGGAACTTGCTTTATAAACCAGGGTGGCCTCAGTCTCACAGAGATCCACCTGCCTCTGCCTCCCAAGTGCTGGGATTAAAGGCATGCACCACCATGCCCAGCACAAACATTTTTTAATTTATAATTTTTTGGGGGTCTTTTTGAGACAGTGTCTCCCAGTAGCCCCAGCTGGCCTGGAACTCACTATGTAGACCAGGATGGCCTTGAACTCACAGAGATCTGCCCCTGCCTCCTGAGTGCTGGGATTAAAGGCATGTGCCACCACGCCTGGCTTAATTTATAAATTTTATGTGTATAATTGTTTTGCCTGTGTATATGTGAGTACACCTATGTCATGCAATGCCCACAGAGGTCAGAAGTTGTCAGATTCCCTGGAACTGGAGTTAAAAATGGTTATTAGCCACCATATGAGTGCTGGGAACTGAACCCAGGTCCTCTGCAAGAGCAGCCAGTGCTCTTAACTGCTGAGCCATTTCTCCAGCCCCTCTTACAAACATTTTTAAAGTGTACATGATAGATGTTTATGGAAGATAATATAAATCAAACACATTTTGTGTGTGTGTGTTACATGCATGCCAGAGGTTGACATCAGGATGTCTTCCTCAATAGCATCTCCAACTTATTTTTTGAGACAGCATCTCTCACTGGGCATAGAGCTCACCATTTCAGCTAGACTGGCTGGTCAGTGAGTCCCCAAGATCTGTCTGTGTCTGCTCCCTACCCCAGTGCTGGGCTTACAGGCATGTGCCTCCATATTCATCTTTTTATGTGGGTGCTGGGGATCCAAATTCAGGTCCTCATGTTTGTATAGCAAGCACTGTACCCACCGAGCCACTTCTCCAGCCTCTCAAACATATTTTCAACTATATTGTATAATTACAAATATTTTCCTTTTAAAAAAGACTTTACAGTTTGTTCCATAAGTTCAGTTACATTTTTAAAAAATATTTTATTTATTATTTTATGTGTATGAGTGTATTGCCTACATGTATGTGAGTGCACCCATGTCGTGAAATGCCGTGGAGGTCAGAAGAGGGCTTTGGATTCCCCTAGAACTGGAGTTAAGGATGATTCATAGCCGCCATGTGGGTGCTGGGAATCAAACCTGGGTCCTCTGCAAGAGCAGTCAGTGCTCTTAACCGCTGAGCCATCTCTCCAGCCCCAGAATTATATTTTTAAAACTTACTAAGCACTCGGTGAAGTGTATTCATTACAGTCTTGATCAGAACAGAATAGATCAAACTACCCTAAGAAATAGCCCAAGCCAAGTAGCTTGATACTACCAAGATTTACTTCTGGGCCAGAAAGTGGGTAAGGGCACTTGTCACCAAGCCTGACAACCTGAGTTTGATCCTTGGAGCTCATATGGCAGAAGAAACCAGATTCCCAAAAGTTGTCCTCTGACCTCCACACCTGTACCGTGGCACATGCATGTACACACACACACACACACACACACACACACACACACACCAAATATTTAACATCTGATTCTATTTGATTTATTATTTGAATGTTCTTGGACCATGTATGATCAGACTGCTATCTAAATAAAATATGTCAAAAGAAAAGTTGGTCTCAGAGTGGTGGTGCATGTCTTTAATCCCAACAAAGGCAGGCAGATCTCTGTGAGACCAAAGCCAGTCTGGTCTACATAGTTCCAGGCCAGCTGGAGCTATAGGAAGACCCTGTCACACACACACAAAAAAAAAAAAAAAAAGGAAAGAAGGACAAGGAGAGGAAGAAGGGAAGGAAGGAAGGAACAAAGGAAGGGAGGGAGGGAAGGAAGAAAAGAGGGAAGGAAGGAGGGAAGGAAGGAACAAAGGAAGGGAGGGAGGGAAGGAAGAAAAGAGGGAAGGAAGGAGGGAAGGAAGGAACAAAGGAAGGGAGGGAGGGAAGGAAGAAAAGAGGGAAGGAAGGAGGGAAGGAAGGAGGGAGGGAGGAAGGGAGGGAGGGAGGGAGGGAGGAAAAGTTGCAGAGGCGAGGGGTGCTGGTGAGACGAATCTATACATATGTCATGACATGAGTATACACACACACACACACACACACAAAATAAGAAGAAATTAAAGTTTAAAAGACAAAAATATTTGCTTATTTTATTCACTGTGGTCTCCCTGAGCCCAGGCCAATAAAACTGGAGCATTCTGGAGTATGTGGTCTCCTCGGTTCAAGCACAGCTGAAGAGTTGAGCACCAGCAATTCAATGCTATCAATACCACTTCTAATCAAATTGATTAGAAAAGTCACATGACCACACTTTTTCAAGAGACCAGGAGAGTACAGGCTTTGGGTACCCAGAAATAAAGGAGGGTTTGGATACACACGAACATTACTAATCGACCTTAATTATCCATGATATAAAAAATGTTTTTATGGGGCTAGAGAGATGGCTCAGCAGTTTAGAGCACTGCCTCCTCTTGCAGAGAACCCAGGTTTGATTCTCAGTACCCACATGGCAGCTAACAACCATCCATAACTCCAGTTCAAGGGGATCCGACACCCTCTTCTGACCTCCTCCAGCACTATTCGACATGGGTGCATTTACATGCATGCGGGCATACATTCATACACATAAAAAATAATTTTAAAAAATTAAAAATAAAGTTTTCACACCAACATATGGCAGAGACAGGAACAGAACCTACTCAAACTATGTGAACAGTTCCTGGGTCAGAATGTCTGCCCCAAGCAGGAGGGAGAGCTACAACTCCAGCTTCACTGAGAAGTCCTCTAGCTTCCCAATACATTCCCTGTATGGAGAGCCAAAACCCCAGATAGCTAGAGATATCTGGGTGGCAACACTGTTTTATTAAAAAGCCTTTTTGTTGCCTGGATACCAGCTTTTTACTTGTTATGTGTACCATCAAATGCCTCTCCGCTTATTCTTCGCCATTCACTTTTTCACCATCCTTTGCTCAAACCCGCCAAGCAGGGTCTACCTTCAAGGGGGTCTGCACAGGGGCTACTGGAGCAGAACAGGGAGGGATGACTTCTTAAAAACATTTTAAGCTTGCATCTGGTCGCTTTTCTCTCTGCCTCGGTGATACTAATCTGGGTTTCCACCTTACCAACTCTGAAGCTTAGCAGCTTTGTGGCCATAGGCAAATCCTGCCACGTCTCTGAGGCTCAGCTTACCTGTAAAATGGGAACAAGAAGCCCTACTACCTCCCAGGATGGTTGTGAGAACAAGAATGAGCTCATGTCTCTGGGAATGCTTGGTACACTGCAAGGTTCTCTATAGGGCCATGTTATCATCACCATCAGTACTGTCTTGCAGGGGAGCCCCAGGCTTGGGGAAGGCCCAGAGAAGAGAGGGTCTCCCAACCCGACCCTCTGACTCTACTGGAATTAGGTCCTCTCTAATTAACTCCTGCTGGCAGGAGTTTCTTGCAGGGCACGTCTGTCTACCAGGAAAAGCCAGGTGAGGCTTCCAGGGGCCGCCCATTGGCCCTGACACACGGGGGAGGGAAGATGATTCACAGCCCTCTAACAGCCTTGTTGACAGGCCTCTTGGCCCGGCCCACAGGGGCTGCGGAGGGCTGCCAACAGGGCAGCCGGGCCACTGGGCTGGGCTCTTTAGAAGCCAAAGAGAGATTAGAAAAAGGGAAGGAAAGAAAAGAGAGAGGAAGGAAAAGACGGGCGGGCCACTGGGCTCTTCAGAAGCCAAAGAGAGATTAGAAAAAGGGAGGGGAAGAAAAGAGAAAGGAAAAGACGGGCACCAAAGGGAAAAGGAAGAACTGAAATGCAGAAAATAGGACGGTGGTCAGCAGGGGCTGTGGGAGAGGGGAAGTGGGCAAGGGGAACGGCTTATTTTGCAAGATGAGAAAGTTCTAGAGCTCTGCTGCTCAACAGTGTGACTATATTTAGCACCCCTCTATTGTACACTTAGAACTTAGTTAAGGTGGCAAGTTCTAGAATTAAAAATGAAATTAATAATTTTTTGTAAAAGATTAGAACGAGGAAGGGAAAAAGAAAACAAGGAAAGAAGGGAGAGAGAAGAAAGGAAGGAAAAACTAAGGAAAGGAATGGAAGAAACGAAGTGGGGCAGATGAGAAGATATGCCAGACACGGAAAAGGCGAAAACAGGAGCAGCAAGAATGAAAAGGATGCAGGGAAGGGAAGGGAAGGGACGCGACTGCGCAGCCTGCGGACCACTTTCTCCCTGGGGGCGTGGCTTCTCGTGACGACACTGCGCCGCGCCGCCGCCCCCGGCCTGCTTCCCGGCCTTGCGAAATCTCTGGGCGCGCTCGTGGCCGCTGGCCCGGCCGGCCCGGCGCTCCCTGGGTGGTTGCGAGTCCTTCGACCTCTGGCCCTCGGCCCAACCAGCCCCGGCGGCGGCAGAGCGGTAATTGCCCTGAGACGCGGCGCTTTTCCGGGCGGGTTGTGCAAGGCCGCGAGAGCGGGGCCCGGGGCAGGGGCTCTCACGTCTCGCCCGCCAAGCTTGCGCGGGCCTCCCCGCCTCCGTCCTCGCCGGGACCTGCCACCAGCGGGGGTGAACAGGATCCTGAACTCTGGGTCCGCGGCCTTGGCTGTTGTGAGCATTAGAGACACCACGGAGAGCCCTAGGACGGCAGCGGAGGCCACGTTCACGTTCTGTGCGCCTGGCTGGCCGTGGTCCCCGCGCTGCCCGTCAAGACTGGAATTGGGATGGGGATGCTGAGCGAGGTGCCTGTGGTCCAGCCTGACTACCTAAATTCAGCCCCTGGAATCCTCATGGTGGAAGAGAACTGGTTCCTGCAGGAGGTCATGAGACCTATATACATGCGGGACAGCTAGACACACATACACACTCGCACACAAAACAAAATATAACCAAAAAAAGCTTTAAGAGACTGGAGTCTGACTGGGCATGTGCACTCAGAGAGCAGAGGCAGGCAGATCTCTGTGAGATGGAGGCCAACCTGTCTAGAGAGCTCCAGGACAGCTGGGACTACAGGGAGTGACTATCAAAAAAAAAAAGAGAAAAAAACCTACAAAAAGACTGGGTACAAACTGCTTCTGCCACTTGATTCTTTTTGGATGACCTTGGAGCTATGCCTCCCTTCTCTGACCTTGGCTTTTATCTCCTGTAATTGGGTGATGATGGTCCAGGCTTCATCAATCTGTTAATTTAAATGGGATGATACCTGAAAAAGTTCGAGGTATGCGGGCGTCCTGACGACCGGCGCCTTTAATACCAGTACTTGTGATTGAGGCCAGCCTGGTCTAAATATCGAGTCCCAGGCCATCTGGGGCTACAAGGAGACTGTCTCAAAAAGACGAAAAAAAAGCTGGGTGTAGTGGTGGCATGCCTTTAATTCCAGCACTCGGGAGTTCAAGGCCAGCCTGGTCTACATAACAAGTTCCAGGCAGCTGGGGCTACAAGGAGACCCTGTCTCAAAAAGACCAAAATAAATAAATTTGAAGGACAAACCTGCACTGGACTCTGGCACTGCCCTCTTTGGAATGTCACTTTCTTTGGCTTTCACGCAAATAGGTGCCCTGATTTCCTTCTTTTCTGGTGGCTTTGCACATCCTTCAAGAGTTGGTGTGACTCCTTTAATGAAGGTGACTTCATTCGTGACTGCATCCTTACCAAAGACTTTGGGTCCCAGCAGCTATGTGCAGCCCAGACCTCTCCTTTGTGGGTTCAGTACTTACTGAAACTTTTATTCAAATGGGGTCCCACAGGAACCTCACATTCAACATGTCCCAAGTTGAACATGCCATCTTCCTGTTCCAAAACCATAGGACTACTCTGGGTTCTCTACTAGTCAGGGAAGGTGGAGTGCCATCCTGTCCACTATCCAGACAGTCCCCAAGGCCTGTCCTTTAATGTCCTTCAGACCCCCGCTTTCACTCTTGCTGCCCCGTCACTTCTATGTTAGTCATGTGGAAGACAGCGGCGGTCTCCAGTCTTGGCTTCTCTAATAAACTCCGCACTGAAGCCAGAGTACACTTTTTAAAACACAAATCTTGTCATTCTGCTATGATCTGAATGATTACATTCCCCTAGAATTTACTTGTTGAATTCCTATCCCCAAAGTGATGGCATTAGGCAGTGAGGTCATTTGGAAGATGACTAATGCCCTTATAAAAGAACCTCTTCCTCCATATGGGACACATAAATACCGAAGTGTGAACCAAGAAAGGCTAGCCAGTCTGTCAGCACTGGGTACTGAATCCCTAGCCTCAGAACTGTGAGGAACTCATTTCTGTTGTTTGTAAGTCACCCAGTTTACAGTGTTTTGTTACAACAACCTGAATAAATAGGTACACTCCACATCTGTTTCCTGCTCATCTCTCCGACTGCTCTTTTTTGCCCTCCAGATTGTAGCCACGTGGAATTCACTTCTCTCCTGGGTGCCATGCCTCAGGGTCTTCCAGGTGCTATTCCCTCTTTTTAACATTTTTGTTTTATTACTGTATGTGTGAGTGCATGTGCCATAGTGCATATGTGGATGTCAGAGGACAACTTGGTGGAGTTGGTTCTCTCCTACCTTTAGGTAGGTTCCAGGGATCAAAATCAGATCACTGGGCTTGCATAGCAAGCACCTTTACATGCTGCCCCACATGCTGTACCTTCTGTACAAGATGCCTTTTTTTTCTTTTTTTCATTGAACTTTTGTGTATTTCATACAGAACATCTTTTTTTTAATTAATTATGCAACAGCCAGAATATTGGGCTGCCTTGAAATTTCCCCTGGCAGATTTGTTAGTCCATTGCTTTTTAAAAATATTTTATTATTTTATGTGTGAATGTACTGCCTGCATGTATGTGAGTGTACTTGTGTCGCGCAATTCCCTCAGAGGTCAGAAGGCGTCAGATCCCCTGGAACTGGTGTTGTGGACAGTTAGCTGCCATGTGGGTGCTGGGATTTGAACCCAGGTCCTCTGTAAGAGTAGTTCATGCTCTTAACTGCTGAGCCATCTCTCCAGCCCCCATACAGAACATATTAATCAACCTTATACCTTCTTCCTCACTGGCACCTGCCCATAGCCCCACCTCCTCTCCCCTCCCCTCCCCCCACACTGGAATTGATACATTCTGTCATTTGTGTTAAGGCCTATCATGTCAAGTTAGTGTCCCCAGATATTTTCTTAGTGCAAGTTCATCCACTGGGGTCTAGTGAACCTATCTAGAGTGCCTCCCTTTAAGAAGATCAGCTCTTCCTCACCCAGCAGTTACCAGCTACCAATAATTCTTCACCTAAGATTGGAGCCTGCTGTTCATTTCCACAGTTCTGTGCTGGGTTTTTGTCTACTTGAGTTTGATGGGTCTTATGCATGCTGACACCATTGCTGTAGGTTCATATGAACAGGGTCCCAGGAGCCTGTAGGACTCTATTGGTATATAGTCATGCGCCTCCTCCCTGACTCTTACAATCTTTCTCCCACCTCTTCTGCAATGGTCCCTGAACCCTGGGTGGGCAGAATTTAATATGAGTCCTATCCAAGGGCCCACACTCTACAGACTCGTATTCTCTATGTTTTGGTCATTAACCAAATTTGGTCCATTAATTTGGACCTTTTGTGTTCCTGGCCCTCTGTTGCATGAGGGGGCTTGATGAAAATTGAAAGATGCATTGGTATTCTCTTTACCCCTTGTTCTATGTTCTGTGAGCCTTAGGTGTAGAAGTTGTATTGTAGATGTACCACTTAGGCTTGGGAAATTCACAGACACTGTGTGTGACCAGCTGTGGAACTCTGTAATAATCTCTGTTGAAAAAGAAGCTTCTTTGATGAGTGGTGACTGGGGTACTAGTCTATAAATATAAGGATCCATATTTTTCACATAGTAACCTATTTTTCTGCATAGGACTTCCTGACCTCCAAAACCCCTAACCTAAGTAAGTACCCCTCCTATTTGCTCTCAAAGTAGGAATGCAAAGGCTCCCCTGAATTTTTTTTTGGATACAACTATATGGATATAATTTTTAATTAAAATTCATATAGAGAGTAGGGCATGGTGGTACATGCCTGTAGTCCTAGTACTTAGGAGGCAGGGGAAGGAAGAGTGCCAAAAATTCAAGGTCAGCATGGGCTATATAATGAGTTCCAGACCAGCCTGAACTACATAATGAAACCCTATCTCAAAAAATAATTTTAATAAAAAAATTGATATAGAAGCACCTGAGAGGCAGAGGCGGGTAGCCCTCTGTGAGTTCAAGGCCAGCCTGGTCTACATAGTGAGTTCCAGGCCAGCTGGGGCTATAGGGAGACCCTGTCTCAAAATAATCTGATATAGAAAAAAAGAAATCTGTTAAAGTTTGTGACAGGATATCTGCCAAAATTTTAATAGTGATCATCTATGGGTAGTGAGATTATATTTAAATTGTGTTCATTTTGCCTATCTATTTGCTATCTAATTATGAGGGTTTTTTTTAATGTTTGTTGACTAGTTCTCCACAAGCCTAGAGTAACCTAGCTGGGGTAAGTTGGGCTTTTTGGAGCTCCTTGCCAGCTCAAGAGGGGAGGAGCCTAGATGCCAAGGCAGAACATCTTCTGTGCCCAGTTCCAATGCCCAGTAATGCTAGGAGAAGAAAAGGCTGCTTCTATGGTAAGGATGGGTATGGAAGGAATTCTCATTCACTAAGGAAATTGACTTGGGAATTTTGAGCCTGGTAGTATTCATCAATGCTTGGAGATCTTCAAATTCCACCCCCTCACCTTGGAACCCCAAAGACTTGGTGAACTGCCAGACCTGCCAGATCACACAGGGAGGTAATGGCAGAGCTGGAATTTGGATATGTTCCCTCCCTGATTGCTGCTCATTCCAATATATGTTCCCACCCATCCCCAACCACTGGCGTGAGACTACACACATACACACTTACCACACATATATACAACACGTGCACATGTGACACACATGCCCACACTCCACATGCATATACAAAACACATGCACATACCTCACACAAGCACACACACACACTCAACACACATACACATTAAACACATACCACATATGCACACACCAGCATGCACACACATACCATACAAGCACACACACATATGCACACAGATGTATAGGTATTTTACTAATCCTTGAGAAGCTGACCATCTTAGATCCTCCATAAAACTGCTGTAGGAAATGTTTAACTCTCTGACAATTAGATACCAATCTCTAGTTACCTGTAGAGAGAGAGAGAGCTTGCCAGGCACTTTTCCATAAACTATTCTCTTAAATTATATATATTTTGCTGGGTGTGGTGGCACATGCCTTTAATCCCAGCACTTGAGAGGCAGAGTCTGGCAGAGTTTGAGGCCAGCCCGGTCTACATAGTGAGTTCTAGGCCAGCTGGGGCTACAAGGAAACCCTGTCTCATAAGGACCAAAAAAAGTATATATTTTATTATATCCTCTCTATCAAATAGGTATGAGTGTCCTTTTGCCTTGTGAGAAAACAGATTCAAGGAAGTAACTTTCTCAAGGTCAAGTAGTAAAACCAGAACTCAAATTCACTCCCTGCCCCAGGATTCCCTGGTCCACATTGCCACACCAGAGCTATGTCCATTGTATAGTCTGTAGAGATGTCATTTGGGGAGTTAAAAAGTCCCTGGGGGTGTCCTCATTCCATGACCCATCCCATTACTCAAGCCACATGGTTGAAACCATGAACTCTAAATCCATTGGATCCTGGCTTTGCCACTTCCTCATTGTGCAACTTTGGGCAAGTCATTAAACCTCTCTGTGCCTGGTGTGCAGAGTGTGGCTAACGGTCCTTAATTCATAGATAGTGCGACGATGAAAAGAGATGCAACATGAAAGCACATTAAACAGTGCCTGACACATGGAAGGCTCTCCAAAAGCACGGAGCTTATCCTATTATCATCATTATCATCATCACACTGTTATTACTGCTCTGAGGAGTTATGGTATTATACCATGCTGGGAGATGGCTCAGGAGGAAAAGTTGCTTGCTGCCAAGCCTGACCACCTGAGTTCAACCCCCAGAACTCTCATGGTGGAAGGAGAGAAATGATTCTTTTTTTTTTTTGGTCTTTTTTGCAGCAAGGTCTCCTTGTAGCCCCAGATGGCTGGCCTGAAACTCACTATGGAGACCAGGCTGGCTTCGAACTCACAGAGATCCACGTGCCTCTGCCTCCCAAGTGCTGAAATTAAAGGTGTGCACCCCACCACACCTGACTATGAAAACTAACCGTTGAAGGTTGTCTTCTGGCCTCCACATGCATGCGTTGACATGTACATGCATACATACATATATACAAATAAATGTAATTTTAAAACTTTAAAGATAGTGAATGTTGGGCTACAGAGATGGCTCAGCAGTTAAGAGCATTGGCTGCT